TTGGAGCCTGGATGCACGTTTGGAATTCTGACACGGTATGGTGGCCGCCGCCGCAAAATGGCTGCCGCAGGAGGCGTTGCCGGCCACAAAATGGCTGCCGCAGCTTAACTCCAGTCACAGCAGTGCGGATCCTTGTGCTGTGGTGGCAGCTGGTGCCAAAGCAGCATTTATAATATGTTTATATTATAAATATATATAATATATAATATATTTATAATATATATAATATATATATCCGCACAGTCAATCAAATCTTCAACAGTCAGTCAGAGGCCTAGCTGGGCAGAAGCCCTACCTGGCCCCACCCACTTTGGGGCGACATTGGGGACCTCTGTGCCTCTGAAGAGAAGGACATCGTGTGAAGTGGCCCTTCCGTTGAGATAGAGTTTTTCCTTGGGGGAGGCCCGGAACATTTCCAGTTATGGAGACCCCTTGGAACATGGCCGCCTTCCGGAACGTTCTTCACTCCCGGGGCCTCCCTCAGTCAGCTACCAGCCTAGCCAAAAAAACAGAACATGCTTCCAAGAAGCCCGGCCCTGGCCGTTGCCGAGTTGTGCTTTGAAATAAAACACACCGACGGTCGGGAGCCCAGGTTCCCTGCCAAGGAAATGCGAAATCCGCTCCCTGGCCATAAATCTGAATTGCCTGACAGGGCACGCTGCGGATGAGCTATTTAGGGTATGGTCTTCGTGTCTCTACCCCTCCTTGGTATCCCGTCCTCCCTTGTTCCTGAGACTTGCGCAGGTATTGGCCAACGAGCCCAGCCGCGTGCGCGGTTGTGGAGAGCTCAGCGCCAATTCTTTTTTTGATTTTCCAAACTTTTTAAAATAAGTTTTTAAAAGAAGGTTAAAGGCCGTTCTATTTAGGTCTGTGTTTCGTTGAAGCAATCCTGCGTCGTCGTTTTAAATGTTGGTTTTACCTCTTGTTAAAAATGTTAATATCAGAGCGGATTCTGCGTCCCGTGGCACCTTTAAGACCAACGAGGTTTTATTCGAGGTGCAAACTTTCGTGGGCACGCACACTTTCCGGAGTATCGTAAGCCTCCTCGAGCGCCGTAGGAAGAAGAAGAAGATATTGGATTTATACCCCGCTCTTCACTACCCGAAGGTGTCTCAGAGTGGCTTACAAACTCCTTTCCCTTCCCCTCCCCACAACAGACACCCTGGGAGGTCGGTGGGGCTGAGAGAGCTCTGACAGAAACGGCTCTTTTCCAAGAACAGCTCTTATCAGAACTACGGCTTGCCCAAGGTCATCCAGCAGCTGCAAGTGGAGGAGTGATCAGGAAAAGAGCCAGAGTCACTCGACAGCCATATCCTATCGGTGGAGGTCTGTAAAGCACAGGCATGGGACAAAAAAAAGTGGGAAGGGGGGGGGGGGGGAGAATCCCAGTTTCTGTGTTGGCCAAGAGAATGGAAAAGCAGGAACTGGCCTCTCTCCTCCCAGAGAATCTCCCAGGCTTTTATCTCTAAACTCCCACCCCTTGCGTCTTTTCGCCCTTCGCCAGAAATCTGCTTCCCATTTGCCCGCTCTGTCCCGTCCACATTCTCTCCCTTTGTTTGCCGGGGACTCTTCTCTTCCTAGCTTTGCACACACACACACCCAACACTCGTGCTTAAGGGAGTGTTTTTCAGCGTCTCCACACACCCCTTTGGCCTGATCCCTTCTCCCCCAGTTAACCAGCCCAGCTGTATGCTAATAGAGAGCAAACACCACTGCCGAAGTTTTACGTTAAGTTGGCCGCTATTGTTAACCGAGCTTGTCGGCTTCTCCGCCTCCCCCCCTCGCTGCATTCTTGGGGGGGGGGGAGAAGAGAAGCCAACCACCGTCTAAGTGATGGGTGGCCACAGACTTCCAGATGCAAACCCACCCCCCCTTCCTGGTCTCTCCCTTTGTCTTTTCTTTCTTCCGCCTTCGCTTTTAATATATTTTTGGCAGCTGGTTGCCGTTCCCCCTCCCTCCCTCCCTCCCTCCGGCCCGCCTGCCAGCTTTTTGCTGTCTTTGTTTACTCCCCTCTCTCCCCCACCCGTTTCTCTCCCTCCCTCCCGGCCCAAAACAAACAGACGGCTCCCTTCCCTGGAGACCGGCGGCAGATGTCGGGCATTACCTGTGTAAATAAGTGAGTGCAGCCGGGCAGGTGGCAGGTAGCGGGCAGGCGGGGCAGCGGTGCCTCCCTTGGCCCCCCGCTCAGGTGGCAGTCGGAGGTGAATCGGCTCCCGGCAGAGGGCTTTTGTTGCACTCAAGGTGGGGGTGTGTGGACAGGTGCGGAGAAGGGTGCTGAGCGGGGCCGGTTCCAGGTGTTGTTGGAGGGCCCAAGGTCTCCCTCCCGTCTTCTGCTCAACGCCGGGTCCCCACTGGTATCTTCTTTCCCACCCACCTGGCTAAGAACATCAGAAGAGCCGTGCTGGGTCAGAAACAGGGGTCCATCTGGTCCAGCCTCCTGTCTCACACAGTGGCCAGCCAGTTCCTCTGGAGAGCCAACAACAGGGCATAGAGACCGAGGCCTTAGGGTTAACCCTACCCTAACCCTGAGAAGAACCTCAGAAGAGCCCAGCTGGATCAGACCAGTGAGGGTCCCTCTAGTCCAGCATCCTGTCTCACACAGGGGCCAGCCAGTTCCTCTGGAGGGACAACAACAGGGCAGAGAGGCCGAGGCCTTCCTCTCATGTTGCCTCCTGGCACTGGCGTTCCAAGGTTGACTGCCCCTGAACGTGGAGGTTCCCTTTGGTCGCCATGGCTAGTAGCCTCTCTTCCATGAATCTATGGAATCCCCTTTTAAAGCTGTCTATTTCTGTGGCCGTCGGGACATCCTCTGGTGTGGGGTGGGGGTTGTTATCAGGAAGGGCCATTTGGCGTCAAGATGCCTAAGTACTGGTTGATTTATAGCTGAGATAGGATGTAAGAAAGATCTGTGAATGGCAGTAAATTAGCATACAAATGCAAGAGTTAACAAACAGATGTGGGAACGAGGTTTGAGTCCAGTGGCGCCCACAAGACAAATAAGGTTCAATTCTGGGTACAGGCGAGGACTGAGAGACTTAGTATGTAGGCTGTTTCGGGTTCATTGGAACAGACAACAACCACCCCCCCAGAAAGATCTAGGACACACAATTGACATAGATAAATGGGCAGTTACTTGGAAATTACTAAAATACATGAGAGCCGTCACTTATAAGGAAAACATTTATAAAATATTTCATAGGTGGTACTGGTCCCCAGATAATGTAAAGTGAACGTAGGAACTTTTTTTCACATGTGGTGGCGGTGTGAAAGAGTATACAGCTACTGGGAAATGGTGCAGAAGTTGATTGGAGAAATCATGAGTATAACGCTGACTCCGTCCCCTGAAATTGCTTTATTAAATATGATTCCAGAATGTCATAAGCAGAATGAAAGATATATCCTAACTTATATGTTAACAACTGCTAGAATTCCAATTTATTAGCCAAAAATTGGAAGCAAGAAAGGCTCCCTACAAGAGAAGATATAATTTGTAAATTATTAGAGATTGCTGAAATGGATAAATTAAGCTTAATGTTACAAGGGAAAGATGATAATATTTTTTATGCAAGATGGACGTGCCTGTATAAATGGAGAAATAAGATATGGAAAATTCAACTGTATATATATGTAATTTATGTAACCTGATATACTACTGGAAAACTGAAAAATAAATCCTTAAAAAAAAACAACCCAACCCACCCCAGTTTGGTGTAGTGGTTAGAAGCGCAGACTCTAATCTGGGAGAACCAGGTTTGATTCCCCACTTCCCCACATGCAGCTGCTAGATTGACCTTGGGCCAGTCACAAGTTCTCCCAGAGCTGTGCTCTCAAGGGCAGTTCTTGAGAGAACTCTCAGCCCCACCTACCTCACAGGGTGTCTGTTGTGAGGAGAAGAAAGGAAAAGAAGATTGTAAGCTGCTCTGAGACTCCTTTGGGTAGTGAAGGGCAGGGTATATGGCCAATCTCTTCTTCTTTTCCCTATAAATAATGGTTGAGGAGGTTCTGTTCCACTGTATCTGAGGAAGTGTGTGTTGCCCATGAAGGCTTATACCACGAATAAAACTTTGTTAGTCTTAAAGGTGCCACTGGACTCAAACTTTCTTCTGTTTAGAAGCTTCATAGATTTCAACTCATGCTCTAGGTCAGGGGTCCCAAACCTTTTGGAACATGTGGGCACCTTTGGAATTCTGACTTGGTGTGGTGGGCGCAGCCACCAAATGGTTGCCGTGGGAGGTGGGGCCAGCTGCAAAATGGTTTCCGCAGCTTAACATCAGTCCCCAGGTGAAAATTCTTGTGCTGTGGTGGCAGCTGCCAACAAAGCAACCTTTTTTTTTAAAAAAAAAATCTGCACTGCCAATCAGACCTCCAGTGGCCAATCAGAAGCCTCGCTAGGTAAAAGTTCCACCTGGCCCTGCCCACTTCCTAAAAACACTTGGCAGGTGCCCACGGGGACCGTGCTCTGGGTTTATATTTTGTAAAGCACTCTGGGCGTTGTGGAAAGGCGGGATATAAATATTTTAAATAAATAAGCTGTTAATACTGGGATGGCGGGATGTAAATATTTTAAATAAGCTGTTAATACTGGGATGGGGGGGCGACGTGTTCCACCAGGAAGGAAGGGCCCTTCAGCTGCAGGGGACCACATCTGGATCTCCAGCCGCTTTTGAAGCCAGCGCTTCCTGTTTCCAGCTGTTCTGTGGTTTCCTGTCCCTTCTGCCTCAGCTGTTTTTGACGTTCAGGTGCACCAGAATTCCGGGGCAGCCGCTGGTTGCTGTGGATGGAGAGACCCGGATGTGGTCCTCTTTCTGCTACTCTTAGGCAGCTTCACTGGTATTTTTTTTGGGGGGTGCATCAGCCCCACGGAAGGGATACAGGACTACCAGATCCACATCTGCGAGGAAGTGTTCTCAGTGTTCGATGCTGGATTTGGGGGAGGAGAGAATATTCTTGGAAACAACTAGCAGCATCCTGATTAAATCTCTCTCTCTCTCTCTTTTTAGACCTTCATCTTCACAGATGGGGAAGACGAGGAACTAAAGAAGAGAACCAGTGAGTTGATATATCGCTTCCCTGACTTGTTCCCGGTTCCAAAGGCCTCTTGGTGCAATTCCTCTTATCGGGCCTTCCTCAGCTGTCCTTCTAAGCCCATTGAAGCCAGCAGGCTTAGAAACATGTAAGAAGGGAAGAGCCTTTGCTGGATCAGACCAATAGTCCATCTAGTCTCCCTCGCCTCCCCTCCTCACTGCTAGGTCCCCACGGGTGTCTTCTTTCCCGCCCACCTGCCTAAGAGCATCAGAAAGAACCCTGCTGGATCAGACCAGTAATCCATCCAGTCCAGCCTCCCGTCTCACACAGCGGCCAACCAGTTCCTCTGGAGGGCCAACAACAGGGCAGAGAGGCCGAGGCCTTCCCCTGGGAGGAACATCAGAAGAGCCCTGCTGGATCAGACCAGTGATCCTTCTAGTCCAGCATCCTGTCCCACACAGTGGCCAACCCGTTCCTCTGGAGGGCCAACCACAGGACAGAGGCCGAGGCCTTCCCCTGATGTTGCCTCCTGGCTCTAGGATTAGTGCCTCTGAATATGGAGGTTCCCCTCAGCCCCCATGGCGAGTAGCCACTGACAGACTTATTCTCCATTAATCTATCTACTCCCCTTTGAAAGCTGTTTATTCCTGCGGCCATCACTCCATCCTCTGGCTGGGAATTCCACATTTAAATCCCTCTCTGAATAAAGTAGTATTTCCTTTTGTTGGTCCTGAACCTACTGCCCATCAGCTTCTTTGGATGCCCTTAAGGGAGGGTTGGCAGCCCCCGGTGTAGGCGGGCTCCTCCCCACCGCCAGCCGCCTGGCCGGCAAGGGAAAACCCTGCCCACGAATGCTCCCCGGAAGTGAGGTCCTCACGTCACCGACATCGCGCGGCAAGGATTTATTTTTTGGACAAAAGTCTGTGGTAAATTTAAGCTCAAGCCATAGAGTTTTGCCGCAAAGCTAGAGCGTCACTCTGCGACGTCGGCAATGTGATGATGTCACTTCCGGGTGACGTTGTTGCCCTGGCAACCATACCTCAGGTTCTGGTATTTGGGGAGAGGGAGGAAAAAGTTCTCTTTGTCAGCTCCCTCCACCTCATACATCATTTCATACACTTCTACCATGCCCACTGTTCCCTCTAAGCTGCGTGAGTGTGAGCCAGCTCATAGTTTTTTAGCCTCTGGCGCACGCATTTTTGTCCTAGCTCAGGAAACATGGCTCCAGAGCAAGCTAATTGACGCAGCAGCCCAATGGCTCACTCACAACTTTAATGCCGGTAGCTCACAAAAAGTAGAATTTTTGCTCACAGGACTCCACAGCTTAGAGGGAACATCGTGTCCCTCCCCCACCTCAGTCGTCTCTTTTCTAAACTGAAAAGTCCCTGGCTCTTCGGCCCTTCCTCATTGGGAAGACGCTCCAGTCCCCTAGTCATCTTTGTCGCCCTCCTTCATACTTCATACTTTTTCCAGCTTGATCCTTGAATAGATTTTCCAAGAATTTTTTAAAGCGTAGTAACAGCCACACAATGGAGCTGCGGTGGCTCAAGTGATTAAGACGCTGAACTGCGGTAGTTCAGCAGTTCGAGACCCGAGTGTGCCGCATGACGGAGTGAGCTCCCGTTTCTGGTTCCAGCTCCTGCCAACCTAGCAGTTCGAAAGCAAGAAATTGCAAGTAGATAAATAGGTACCACTTCGGTGGGAAGGGAACAGCGTTCCGTGCGCCTTGGTGTTTAGTCATGCCGGCCACATGACCACGGAGACGTCTTCGGACAGCGCTGGCTCTTCGGCTTGGAAACGGAGACGAGCACCGCAACCCTAGAGTCTGACTCGGCTGGCTTTCGAGCAAGGGAACCTTTACCTTTACTAACAGCCACACAGAATGTCCATTAGAGCACCAAAGGAGATGATATTTACCGTTTCTCCCTCCGGCGCAGTACTCATTCTCCCTGGGTACTTCTTTGGCAGAGTGTCAGAGTCATTTGCAAAGCAAAGGAAGAAAAGTCCACCCCTTATCCCCCCACCCACCCTGTCCTTGGGTCCCTAAGCAGCTGTCATTGCCCTCCCAAAAAGGACAGAGCAGAAATCACACCCCAACGGTGGGGAAGATCCGTTTCCGGATGTCCCGGCTTCCCTCGATAGGCCGGGCCCTCCCCTTCTCCCTCCAAGGGCTCGCTTGACTGTGATCTTCCCGAACGCCTGCTTTTGGCCTCCATGGGCGTATGGCTCCTTCGGCCCTCTGTTGACGCCTTTGCAAAGGACAGAGGATTGGGCAGATGGTCTTTTGGAATGGGGGGGGGAGATTAACTAGGTGTCTTTTTCCTCTCCAGAGAATGGGCCCATTAACTTTCTGAATCGGAGAGGGGGAAGGAGGGGGGGAACTTACTCATCGAGTGTTTATGGAGCTCCCCCCCCCCTCCCCAGACTGGGTCAGGCCCCGCTATTCTTCAGATGCAAATGTCCTCTATTCATGCCCTGAATGGGTTCCCACCCACCCCCACAAGACGTCCCAGCGAGTAACAGGTGGCCGCTGATGGGAAAATGCCACTTGAATGGGACGACAACCTCCCCCCTGGCATCGGCGCCCCCTCCCCCTTCGGAGGCCAACTTGTAACCCCTCCCCTCTTTTCTGAGTTAACATTCTTGGGGGGGGATCAGGCTATAAACTTGGGAACAAAAAGAAAGCTGGTCTTCTTCTTCAAACAGCCTTTAGTGTAGGGGGAAGCCAGGGACACACACACCTCTTGGGGAAATTCAAAGCCGGCCGTATTTAAGTTGCCGCTGGATTTTCGTTTTAGCAGACCCCGACACGGCTGCCCTGTTTGCGAGAGTCACAAATAAACAGAGGAGCATTGGAACGCTTTAAAGATGGCCCATGTTTTATTCCAGCGCAACAAAAGTAACTTCCCCCCCCCACCATAGAGAACAATGGAGGGGATGGGGGCAACCTGTTTGGGGGCCCGTAGAGTTGGACCCCCTGGTCTGATGTTCTTGAAACATGGTTGGTATCTTGGGGAGAGGCTCCAGCAGCTATCCTGCGAGTTTGGAGCCTTTCCGTCAAACCCCCTCCCCTCCAGCCCCCAGAATATACCCTATGTTTTCACCATTGACTTCAGTGGTCCATAGGATATAATGGGGCTGAAACTGACATTCGGCTGGCCAATCCCGAATGGGCTGGTACTGCCGAAATTGACATGCAGGAGTCTTTCTGCCAGCCGAAATTGATTCTGCCCGATTCGGCCGAATCCGAATCGGGCCGAATATTATTATTTTTTTGCGCACCCCTAGAAAGAATTGGCTGGACCATGGAGCCATGAAATGCAGGATAAAGGGATACACAGAATGAGAAATGCTGCCCCTAGAATCCTCTGTGTTGTCCAGGATGATGCTGGGACCGGTCACCCTAGCGCCTCTTGAAATGTCACTGTGGATTCCGGAATGGCGCATATTGCGCCACGAATGCCCTGAACAGGATTGGTGGCGGAGGTGGGGTGTTCAAGGCAAGAGGCATCCAGAGGTGGCTTGCCATGGCCTGCCCCTGCATAGCAACCCCAGACTTCCTCGGTGGTCTCCCATCCAAGTAGTAACCAGGGCCGACCCTGCTTAGCTTCCCAGATCTGACGAGGTCAGGATCTCCTGGGCTTATCCAGGTCAGGGCAGAACGAGAAGGCCACCCCGTTTCATGCCATTCAAGGTTGCCCAGACATTGGAATCGGGAAGGGTGTCCGCGATCGTTGTCACCCAATGGGATGTTTTATGAATTCCAAGCCAGATAGAAGTTTGCAAAGGTGACCGTCCCCCGTCTCTCCTTTTCTCTCCCTGTAGGGAACGTCATCAACACCAACTGTTCCGCTGCCCACAGCCGCCAAGCCCTGTCCTGCAAGATGGCGGTCGAATACGACAAGTTCATCGAATCGGGGAGGAAGTAAGTGCAGGCGGGGACGACCCTGGTTTGCAAACTGGCCTGCCACTCAGCGGCAGAGGTCCTGGGCAGGAGGGTCCTGGGCTCAGTTTCTAGTCAAAAGGATCAGGTCGCGGGTCCCTGGTTTGCAAACTGGCCTGCCACTCAGCGGCAGAGGTCCTGGGCAGGAGGGTCCTGGGCTCAGTTTCTAGTCAAAAGGATCAGGTCGCGGGTCCCTGGTTTGCAAACTGGCCTGCCACTCAGCGGCAGAGGTCCTGGGCAGGAGGGTCCTGGGCTCAGTTTCTAGTCAAAAGGATCAGGTCGCGGGTCCCTGGTTTGCAAACTGGCCTGCCACTCAGCGGCAGAGGTCCTGGGCAGGAGGGTCCTGGGCTCAGTTTCTAGTCAAAAGGATCAGGTCGCGGGTCCCTGGTTTGCAAACTGGCCTGCCACTCAGCGGCAGAGGTCCTGGGCAGGAGGGTCCTGGGCTCAGTTTCTAGTCAAAAGGATCAGGTCGCGGGTCCCTGGTTTGCAAACTGGCCTGCCACTCAGCGGCAGAGGTCCTGGGCAGGAGGGTCCTGGGCTCAGTTTCTAGTCAAAAGGATCAGGTCGCGGGTCCCTGGTTTGCAAACTGGCCTGCCACTCAGCGGCAGAGGTCCTGGGCAGGAGGGTCCTGGGCTCAGTTTCTAGTCAAAAGGATCAGGTCGCGGGTCCCTGGTTTGCAAACTGGCCTGCCACTCAGCAGCAGAGGTCCTGGGCAGGACGGTCCGCGGCGGCTCACAAAAAGGGCAGCACATGCCAATATAAAACAGTAAAACACCTAAAACATATAAAAACAACCGCTATCAAAATGAAGTGCTCGGTGGTCAGAGCAAGATGGAAGCCTGCAGATGAAAATCCGAGCCCGGTTCGGATTCTGCCTTAAAATGGCAAGCCTGGGTCCTGAGCTCCTGTTGAATGCAGTGAGGACTCCTGCCCCAACGTGGGCAGCTCCTACGAGCCTGGAAATGAAGCAAAGGATCATGGGAAACAGAAGGGGTGTTCAGTGGGGCTGGCTCTAACCCGGACCCTCTCTTGTCGTTGTCCCGCCAGGTGGTTTTGCCACGTGGACGACGATAACTACGTGAACGTGCGGACGCTGGTGAAGCTGCTCTCCAGTTATCCCCACACGCAGGACATCTACATCGGGAAGCCCAGCTTGGACAGGCCCATCCAGGCGGCCGAGAGGATCAGCGAAAACAAGATGGTAAGAGCGCCGGGAGCGCAGATCGGAGGGCTGGGTCACGTGACGCGCGCGATCGGTCCCTGGAGGCCTTCGCCCCAAAGCGCTGTTTGAGTTGAAGGCGGGGAACGGTCTCGCGGTGGCGATGAATCTGGGCGGATTCATTTCACGGCGGCAAGGGCGCTGCTTGCGCTCAGCAAAACGGGAGACTTGGCTCGTGAGCCGGTCTGAAGACGGTGCTTTAGATCATCTGCTACGGCAGGGGTACCCGGCCTTTTAGAGCCTGTGGCCGCCTTTGGAATTCTGACACTGCCTGGTGGGCGCAGCCACAAAACGGCTGCTGCCAGAGTCGGCCGCAAAACGGTTGCCCCAGCTTACCCTTGAGGAGAAGATTTGGATTTATACCAGAGAGCGGCTTACAAACTCCTTCCCCTCCCCACAACAGACACCCTGTGAGGCAGGTGGGGCTGAGAGAGCTCTCCCGGGAACTGCTCTTTTTCATGAACAGCTCTTATCAGAACTACGGCTTGCCCAAGGTCATCCAGCAGCTGCAAGTGGAGGAGTGGGGAACCGAACCCGGTTCTCCCAGATTAGAGTCTGCACACTTAACCACTACTCCAAACTGGAGGAGAGGAGGAGATTGGATTTATACCCCGCCCTTCACTACTCGAAGGAGTCTCAGAGCGGCTCACAAACGCCTTTCCCCTCCCCACAACAGATACCCTGTGAGGCGGGTGGAGCTGAGAGAGCTCTTGACAGAAATGGCTCTTTTTCAAGGACAGCTCTTATCAGAACTACGGCTTGCCCAAGGTCATCCAGCAGGTGCGAGTGGAGGAGTGGGGAATCAAACCCGGTTCTCCCAGATGAGAGTCCGCGCACTTCACCACGACACCAAACTGCCTCTCTTTTGTCATCTTCCGGGCATGGAGCAGGGGTGATCACTGGGGGTGTGTGGGGGCGGGGAGGTAGTTGTGAATTTCCTGCCTTGTGCAGGGGGTTGGACGAGATGACCCTGGAGGTCCCTTCCTCCCAACTCTATGATTCTATATCACACACTGAAGGTCCTTTTGCCGTGGCGCCAGCTGCTGTCAAAGAAACGTTTTTTTAAAATCTGCGCAGCCAATCAGATCTCCAGTGGCCAGTCGGGAGCCTTGAGAGGCAAAATCCCCATGCAGCACTGCCCACTTCCTAAGAACACTTGGTGGGCGCCGGAAAAGCTGTCGGCGGGCACCAGGTTGGGGACCCCTGTGCCGCGGTCTTAAATATACTGTAGGGGAGAAACTGGAAGCAGGAGGAAATGGAGAAGTCCCCAGTGACGGGAGAACGTGATGCCTCTTGGCATCACTTAGGAAAGGAAGGGGCCTATTATAGGCTAATATCTAGAAGGTCGGTAGTTCAGCAGTTCGAGACCCGGGTTGCCGCCTGACGGAGTGAGCTCCCGTCTCTAGTTCCAGCTCCTGCCAACCTAGCAGTTCGAAAGCAAGACATTGCAAGGAGATAAGTAGGTACCACTTCGGTGGGAAGGGAACAGTGTTCCGTGCGCCTTGGTGTTTAGTCACGCCGGCCACATGACCACGGAAACGTCTTCGGACAGCGCTGGCTCTTCGGCTTTGAAACGGAGATGAGCGCCGCAACCCTAGAGTCGGACTCAGCTGGCTTTCGAGCAAGGGAACCTTTACCTTTATCTAGACCAGGGGTGTCAAACATGCGGCCCAGGGGCCGGGCCGGGCCCCCGGAGGGCTTCTGTCAGGCCCACAGTGGAACTGGCTGTCTTCTGCTGCTGCTTCCAGTTCTGCTGCTGCTGCTGTGTCATCGTAGTTTTGCAGCTTACAGATACACACACCTGTGTTAATTAAGATCAAGTATAGCTTATAACATGTACAATAACTGCAAAACAGTATACAAAAGTCCTGAGAATCCAAAATTACAAACCAGCCAGTTAATCACCAACGAAGAGCATACTCAAGATTGCAACAGCACAGGACATTTTGATGCAACGATTCAGAGCAAGAGGTGTCAGTGATCAGACACTTTTAAATAAACAAAGTATTGCAAGAGTGCTGATGTTTTAAGCATGTTTTTTATTTTAAGTTAAAAAACCCCTCTTTGTGTTTGTGTCCTTTATAAAGTTTATATCTCTGTTACCTGGCATGACATTCTATGATACACCCGGCCCAGCCCAACAAGGTCTCATTCATGTCAGATCCGGCCCTCGTAACAAATGAGTCCGACACCCCTGATCTAGACGCTTGTATGACTTGTGTGTTTCAAGTTTTTTATTTATTTAAATTCTCCGTAGTCCGCCTTTCTCACTGGGGCTCCAGGCGGATTACAGAGTGTAAGCCAAATCAATTGAACCGTGTGCAGAACAGCCGATCCGTACAAAGCCTAATGGAAAGGGCTGGCCAGGAGAAGGCCGTGCTTTCAATGGGGATGTGAGAAGACCCTTTCTCTCCGTTCCTCGATGACTGAGCTGGGTCAGCGGATCCCTCCGCACAACGGAGACGGTCTGAAGGGTTCTGGGCAGGAGCCGGGAAGTACGGTGTTGCTGAGAGGGTGGCCGAGGTGGGCTTTTATGAACCCGTTCTCTTGTCTTCCTCTGCAGCATCCGGTCTACTTCTGGTTCGCGACGGGCGGAGCCGGTTTCTGCATAAGCCGGGGGCTGGCGCTGAAGATGAGTCCCTGGGCCAGGTAAGGCGTCTGGCGCTTGCCCTTGATGCTGTTGGGTCAATGTGTTGTCTGGCCCATAGTGGTGTGTGTGTGTTTGTCTAGAAACGTCTAAATAATTAAATAAAGGTACTTAGCAGCAGTATGGTCAGAGGCAGTGTTCCCTCTAAGCTGAGTTAGCGTGAGCTGGCTCACAGTCTTTTAGCCTCCGGCTCACACGCTTTTGTCTTAGCTCAGGAAGGAGGGCTCCAGAGCAAACTAATTTAGAGGGTTGTCTGCAGGGCAGACCTGAAAGTGCCCTGGCCTGGAGAGCACAGGCTATTTATTTATTTAATTTATTTATTTCACTTTAACCCCACCCTCCCCGCCAGGCAGGCTCAGGGCGGATTCCAAAAACTGACAAGCAGTATACATTCACAATAAAAAATACAAGACATCAGTTAAAACACAACCAGTCAATAGAAAACATTCATTAGATGGCGATAAAACTAAAGTGCAATTTAGGGACACATTCGGTGGTGCCACCGCGTTAGGTCGTATCTCAGAAGCTCAGCAGGATTGGCCTTGGCTAGTATCTGGAAGGACAGCCTCCAAGGAATACCAGGGTAGTGACACAGAGGCAGGCAAGAGCAAAACCACCTTGAAACGTCTAGCTCACTACCTAGTGGTGCATAATGCTAAAAGAGCTAGAACTTCTGGCTGCCAGGCAATCTTAGGATCTCCCGGCTGCACCACACATGCTGCCATATGACAATTAATTAAGATCTAAAGGTGCCTTGGGGCAGAGCTCCTGTCCTCTTGTCTTCTGCAAAAGGCCTGCGTTAGCCTTAATTCTAACACGTTTCCTGCCTAGAAGCCAAATGCTTGGGAAATAACTTATGGTACCTTATCTGGCTTAGAGCAGAATTAGCCCTTTGTCATTCCCCCACCCCCTGCTGAACCACCCCCTGCTGAACCCTCCTTCTGCGTTCTCCTGGCAGTGGCGGTCACTTCATGAGCACCGCGGAGAAGATCCGCTTGCCAGACGACTGCACCATCGGCTACATCATCGAGTCTGTGCTGGGTGTGAAGCTCATCCGGAGCAACCTCTTCCACTCCCACCTGGAGAACCTCCATCAGGTGCCCAAGACGGAGATTCACAACCAGGTATCTTCTGCAGCTCTCCCGGAGCAGTCATAATGTTCGAGAGCTGGCGTGGCGTGGTGGTTGAAGGGCTGGACCTAGGATCTGGGGGGAACCAGGTTCTAATTCTCCCTCGGCCACAGAGGCGTGGGCCAGCCACACGCTCTCAGCCTGACCTACCTCGCAGGGTTGTAGTGAGGATAAAATGGAGGAGAGGAGAACGACTTGAGCCGCTTTGGGTCCTTGTTGGGGAGGAAGGGAGGGTAGAAATAAAGTGAATAAATTAGTTCATAAGAAAGAGCCAGTTGCCAATAAAAATTTAAATATATAGAAAAAAAAGAAACAAGAAAGATCTCTTATGCTCTTGTTATTGGATGGGTACATGCCATGTAGGACTAAGCTTTTACTCCATCTTGTCCTTGCAGCAGGGGGCACAGAGAGAAGTCCAGTAATGCTGAACTTTAAATGATTGCAACTTCCAAGAAAACCTAGCCTGTCCTTTTTATACATCATTAGGATAAGAACCTAGCATAGTTTTTTTAAAGGGTACTGTGTGTTTTCACCTTTTCTTTGTTCCTTTGCTCTACCTGAAATGTGTGCAAAGGCCACGTGTAACCTTTTTATTCATTTATTAAACTTTGTTTCTAGAAACAAAGAGCCAGAAGCATCTAATTCTTGTTTGTTGCTAGTATTGCTTTAGAAGCCATTAAGATCAACTTGTGATTCAGAAGCTCTCCAGCAAGAAGAAGAGATTGGATTTATACTCCGCCCTTCACTCGGAGTCTCAGAGCGGTTTACAATCTCCTTTCCCTCCCCCTCCCCACAACAGACACCTTGGGAGGTAGGTGGGGCTGAGAGAGCTCTTTTGAAGACAGCTCTTGAGAGAACAACTCTGAGAGAACTTGTGACTGACTCAAGGTCACCCAGCTGGCTGCATGTGGAGGAGGAGTGGGGAATCAAACCCGGTTCTCCTAGATTAGAGTCTGTGCTCCCAACTACTACACCAAACTGGCTCTCAAGGATCTTCTCTGTTGCAAGTGCAAGTTGGGGACAGCTAGACTCTTCCCCAATTTGGTATCGTGGTTAAGAGCGGCAGACTTTAATCTGGAGAACCGGGACTGACTCCCCACTCCTCCACATGCAGCCAGCTAGGTGACCTTTGGTCAGTCACAAGTTCTCTCAGAGCTGTTCTCTCAAGGAGCAGTTTTCTCACTCTCAGCCCCACCCTACCTCCCAGGGTGTCTGTTGTGGGGAGGGGAAGGGAAAGGAGAATGTAAGCCACTCTGAGTGAAGCATGAGGTATTAATCCAATCTCTCTTCTTCCTCCTTCTCCTCTTCCTCTTCTGTCAGTCCGAGTGAAGGGTGGGGTATAAATCCAATCTCTTCTTCTCTTTGGGCATTATACAGAGAAGGTGTGGGTGCCTTTGCACCACGAGTAATTCCAGAGAGGGTAGCGATGCTAGTCTCTAAAACTGCCGCAGGGCTCCTAAGAAAAGTATATGCCAGCATTCTATCAATTCTGTTAGTCTTCCCGGTGCTGCAGGGCTCACATTTGAGTTCATGTCGACACTGTCAGCATAGCTGCAGTCTGTAACACGGTTTTAATGAGGCAGGGGCGCAAGTTCCGGTGTTAGAATACATTAAATAAAAAATAGACAGTAAAGAAGGGACCTGGGGAAGTGGCCTGGATAACTCAAAACCTTTTGGGTTTTTTTTCTGTTGTTGTGCAGGTGACCTTGAGTTACGGGATGTTCGAAAACAAGAGGAACTCAATCCACATGAAAGGCGCTTTCTCGGTCGAGGAGGACCCATCCAGGTGAGAGCCTTAAGCTTCCCCGACAAGTAACAGCAGACCAGAAAGCTTTTCTCTAAGTTGCCAGGGGTCCCTCCGTCCAGTAATGTAGGGATCTTGGAGAGCCGCTGATAGGCGGAGTTCTTTTTGTCACTCCTACGGATCCCGTTCTAAACAGCAAGAGACAGCAGAGGTCAAACCTGGGAAGTCCTCCATGCAGAGCATTTTATCGATTCACTTCAGCTTGGTGTAGTGGTTAGGAGCGAGGACTCTAATCTGGGAGAACCGGGTTTGATTCCCCGTTCTTCCACATGCAGCTGCTGGTGTGACCATGGGTCGGTTACAAGTTCTCTCGGAGCTATTCTCTCACCTGCTTCACAGGGTGTCCGTTGAGGGGATGGGAAGGGAAAGGAGATTGTAAGCCACTCTGAGACTCCTTCGGGTAGTGAAGGGTGGAATATAAATCCCCTTCGATCTCTCTCTTCTTCATTTGTAGTCTGCCTTTCACGCTGAGGATCTAGCCAGATTACAAAGCTTGGTGCGGAAATGCAATATGACATTGTATAATAAACACAGCAAACAATAGAAATAAAACAGAATAATAAAATCAGAAAGCAATGCGATGAACACAGGATCATTTGCCTCCCTCTGCCTAAAAGCTTAGAGTCGGTTTCGGGAAGAGCCTAGAACTGGGGCAATGCTCCCTCTAAGCTGTGGAGTCCTGTGAGCAAAAATTCTGCTTTGTGAGCTACTGCCATTAAAGTTGTGAGCGAGCGATCTGGCTACTGCATAAATTAGTTTGCTCTGGAGCCATCCTTCCTGAGCTAAGACGAAAATGTGTGAGCCAGAGGCTAAAAAACTGTGAGCTGGCTCACACTCACTCAGCTTAGAGGGAACACAGAACTGGGGTCCCCAACCTTTTGGAGCCGTGAAACGGATGCCACAAAATGGCCGCTCGAGAAGGTGGAGCCAGCCACAGAATGGCCACCGCCACCACCTTTGGAAATTCTGACAGAGGGTGGTGGGCACAACCGCAAGATGTCTGCCGTAGAAAGTAGCACTCACCAGACATAGGAAGCGAGGTAATTTCAAATAAACACCCTGGGGAAGAGGAGTGAGAGCGAATAAAACCAACAGTGAGGTGGTAGCTGCGGCAGAATCAGCGTTATTTTGTGCAGCCAATCAGATCTCCGTTGGCCAATCAGAAGCCCTCCTGGTCAAGAGCCCCACACAACTCCGCCCACTTTCTAAGATCACTTGATAGGCGCCAGCAAAGGTGTCGATGCACCACGTTGGGGTCCCCCCAGCCCAGAACTTAAAGCGCTTTGATTTTTCGAAAGCAGGTTAGCCGAGTCTATGCTCCTGTTATCTGGGTTTTCATTCATCTCAGGTGCGGTGCTGACCCAAACGACTTCTCTTCTTTTTGCCTTGCAGGTTCCGCTCCGTCCACTGCCTGCTGTACCCCGACACCCCTTGGTGTCCCCTGAACGTCGCTTACTGAGAGACAAGGCGTCCGCCCCTTTTCTCGAACCTCGTCCTGAGTTCCCCCCGGTATCCGAAGGGCTCATGGGACCTGTGTGTGCGTGCGCATGTGTTACGTGTGTCTGTGTGGGCGCGCTCCCTTTGCTGCGAAGCGATCGGCTGTTAATTACTGTGGTTAATTCACAGTGTGCATATGTTTATAGGCTGCCGTGCGGCCTCTCCTAACCCCTCCCCCTCGCCCAGCTGCCCCCTCCGGGCAAGCTGAGCGAGGGGATGTTCTCCGCGCCCCTGCCGTTCTCGATAGGGCAGAGGTTAGGTAGGTGGGAAGGAATTGCGCTTCAGCCCGTGCGGTCTTTTGCCAAGGGGTTCTGGCTATGGGTGCGACTGATGCCCCGGCCCACCCCCGCAACCAGCTTGGGTACTTTGGAGTATTGCTTTGCAGAGTTCTTACAGAATGGCGGCGGCTAACGCTCTTTTGACTTCAACGGGAGGCGTCTTTTTTTTCCAGTCTGTGGGCACCTCTGGAATTCTGACACAGCGTGGCAGCCGCAAAACGGCCGCCCCCGAACGTGGTGAAGCCACAAAATGGCCGCCGCAAAACAGCTGCTCCAGAAGGCGGAGCCAGCCACAAAATGGCTGCCACGGCTTAACCTTCAGTCACACGGTGAAGATCCTTGTGCTGTGGTGGTAGCGGCTCCCGTAGTATTTTTTTTTTTTAAATCTGCATATCCAATCAAATCTCCAAAGACCAATCAGAAGCCTTCCTAGGCCCCCCCGTGGTGGCGGGGACCCCCGCCTCAAACCTTTAGCCTGCCTTTCCTTCCAACCCGAATTTTCTTAAATCCCATCCGTGCAACTTCTAGAAGCGCTTCTAGGAGTGCCAGTTCTCATTCCTTCCCACCTGCTAGGCTCCGGCTAAGTTTTCAAATGAAGGTTTACGTGCTAAAAGGTTCTTTTTGTTTCTGATAGTCGACTATTCTTGTTTTTGTTGGTTTGTTTTTTTAAAGAAAGAACTCTTCTCCTGTCCACTTCCGGAGCGTGTTTGTTTCTAACTATCCTGAGTCCCGAAGGACTCTCCTTTTTTTAACAATTAAGGAAAGTTGCATTTCGAGCTGGTCTCTGGGACTCGCCCGCTCTCTCTCGGTTGCATCGAAGGGAGACCGACAACATCGTAAGAACCCCAGAGTTGCATGCAGACGCTGGGGTTTCCCTGCCTCTTTTCACTTAGAGCCGCATAATCGGAAATACCGGGCATTTCTCGAAAGGATCGGGCAGCTTTGTCGAATGGCTGCATTCCTGGCGAGGAAGGTCGCATCCAGTAAATACATACCGAATGGCCAATCTGTCGTCGGGTCTCCCTTCCGTGCAAAATCTCTCTCTGCCCGCTTGTCATTTCTACCGGACCATCTTTTCCCAGGCTAATAACATGCTACCCAGGTCACGGCTTAAAAGGTGCCACGGGCGCTGAACGGTTGCTTCAGTTCCTTGAGGGAAAAGACTTCTAAAGCTTCCTTTTCGGAACACAGTTCCATTATTTCCCCGACGGATGTTTTCTCCATCCCATTGGAGAGAGGGTGGTCCCATGAATGCATTAAGCTGCCTTATACTGAATCAGGCCCTCGGTCCATCTAAGTTAGCATCGTCTGCTCAGACGGACAGCGAGCTCTCCAGGGTCTCAGGCACAGAGGTCTTTCCCATCACCTGCTGCCTGGTCCTTTTTCAACTGGAGTGGCCCGGAACTGAACCTGGGACCTTCTGAATGCCAAGTAGAGCTTCTATCTCTGACCAGTGGAGCACACACAAAGTCAGTATTGCCTACTCAGAGTGGCAGCAGCTCTCCAGGGTCTCAGGCATTTCAGTCTTTCACATCACCTACTGTCCGGTCCTTTTCAACTGGAGATGCCAGGGATTGAACCGGGGACCTTCTGCATGCCAAGCAGAGGCTCTGCCACTGAGCCACAGGCCCTGTCACAGACACTTGGCCAATTCCATAATCTTTTCAAAGGGATGCAAAGCCCGGGCAGCCATATGGGAGAGAAGGCCAAACCCCAGGGCGACAGCTGGTGTACTTCTTGTCACAGTTTGTCGAGGTGCGGGTTCGGGATTTCCCACTGCCCCCCGCCCCAGCAGGGTGAAGTTAGCTAGTGGTTCTTACCAGGACTCCAGAGAGACAGGAGATGCAACCTGCAGAAAGGGTGTGTGTCTGTCCGTTCTCCTAGCAGAACTCTTTCTCTCCCGGATTCTGGGATCTTAAACCTCTTTCCTTCGTGGTTCTGTGGGCAGAGAGCGAGAGCGAGAGAGAGAGCGGAAGACTTCCACTCCAAATGCAAAAATGGCCCATAATGGGCGGTAGTTGTAAATATCTTTAATTGCAGCAGTATTATTTACTGTGCCTTGTTGTTTAAAATGGAGACTTTTGTGTAGCTTTGTTAAAAAAAAAAAACACACCTGTGGATTTGTTTTTTGTATTTTACATGTTTTTCCTCCCTCCTGTGGATCAGAAGGGGGAGAAAATGCCCTGCTTTCTATAAAACCCTGTTTAAAGAGTAAAATGTGGGGAAAAAAATATCTCTTGTAACTGCCACTTATCCTTAATTTATGTATCCCAGTATCTGGGATATTGCTCTGTTCTGTTTTTCCTTATAAAGTAGTATATGTGTTGTTGTTTTTTTAAAAAAAACCCCAGAGAGAAAGAATTAAAAAAAAATAACAATGATAAAATATGTTCTCAGGGAATTAAACCTGGTTGTTACTATGGCGACTCGGTGGTAGCCATCTTTTCTGTGCTTTCAATAAAGCAGCTTGTTGGCTGATCAATGTCATGTGACTGTGGTCTTTTTATGTTTCTATTTTTTAATGTGGTGGGCATTATGATGGGGGGGTAAATTTACCATTGGGGCTTGAATTCGTCAGATCACAGAACCTAAGCAGGGCTGGTACTTGGGTGGGTGGCCACCAAGGAAGGCCATGGCAAATCACCTCTGCCTCTCACTTGCCTTGGAAGCCCCTTGCTGGGGTTGCCTTAAGTTATCAGCTAAGCAGGGTCGGTACTTGGAAGGGAGACCACCAAGGAAGACTCTGCAGAGGAAGGCGATGGCCAACCACCTCTGCCTCTCACTTGCCTTGGAAGCCCCTTGCTGGGGTGGCCTTAAGTTGTAAGCTGAGCAGGGTCAGTACTTGGATAGGAGACCACCAAGGAAGACTCTGCAGAGTAACCCTGGACTCCCTTGGTGGCCTCCCCTCCAAGGACTAACCAGGGCCCCAGTCAGTATCCAGGATCCGACAAGCTCCGACCAGCCTGGGCCACCCAGGTGCGGGCAGTCCGAAATGTATAGGAGGAAAAGTGACTTCAGCACTCACCCAGAGTTTAAAAGGGCTCGCCATTTCTGCTTGCAAGGCAGACCCGCAGGGGGACTCAAAACAGAGCTGCGTTGTGGGTGTCAGGGGTGGGTGTCAAACCGGTACCCGGTTTCGGTGCCTCTCCTCCGCCCTTTCGTTTCTCGTTGCCCCCTTGGGTGACTCATACCGCCACCGGCGAGGTGCCAAAGCATCTTCCTGTTTAAAAAGAAGCAAAGGGAGACCCGTTTCCCCTCCCGGCAGTTGCGCGCAACCAAACATGCCCTCTGTCTCTTGCTGAGATGGGCAAGGTGGGTTGGGGGGGAGGACGTCTCTGCAGGTTCAGCAAAAGAATCACCACAGTGGCTCAGGAGGACAGTAAAGACGGCACCACTCAAAAGGCAGTGAGAGAACACTGTCATCTTCCAAACAGCCTGTCTGGTGTCGTGATTAATTGCGCGGACTCTAATCTGGGAGAACCGGGTTTGATTCCCCACTCCTCCACTTGCACCTGGCTGGATGGCCTTGGGCAAGCTGTAGTTCTGATAAGAGCTGTCCTTGAAAAAGAGCAGTTTTTGTCAGAGCTCTCTCAGCCCCACCTGCCTCCCAGGGTGTCTGTTGTGGGGAGGGGAAGGGAAAGGCGTTTGTAAGCCGCTCTGAGACACCTTCGGGTAGTGAAGGGCGGGGTATAAATCCAATCTCTTCTCTTCTTCTTCTTCCTGGACATTCCATTGCTGACCTAAGAGTGGCAGTCCTAGAATCACAGAATCATAGAGTTGGAAGGGACCTCCAGGGTCATTAGTCCAGCCCCCTGCACAAGGCAGGAAATTCACAAATACCTCCCCCCACATACACCTCCAGTGACCGCTGTTCCGTGCCCAGAAGAGGGCAAAACTCCTCCAGGATCTCCAGCCAAACTAGCCTGGAGGAAAATTGCCTCCTGACCCCAAAGTGACGATCGGCATTTCCCTGGGCATGTCAGAAAGGGCCACGAGAACTATGCACTGATGCAACCCCTCCTGCCCTCCCTTCTCGTGATCTGCCTACGTTCACAGAATCAGCATGGCTGTCAGATGGCCACCTAGCCTCTGCTTAAAAACCCCCAAAGAAGGAGAACAGAGTAGCTTCAAGGGGAGATTGCAACGTGAGATTACTGGATTTGAGTTTATTCACTAATTTAAAACAATGGAAACCCCCCCCCTCCCCAAGGCTGAATAGAAACACAGGATGCTTATCTCACTACAGAGGCTAATTTCCCCACCCTCGAGCATTTCCTCTCTGCTCTAATAAAGCTGATTACAAACATGCATGACACCTCTGCTTCCTTTGCAACACCCCTCCAACTGGGGATAAAAGAGACTCTCTGAGGTGCCATGGAACTCAGATCTGTTCCACTGAAGGCAAACCTTCTGAAACTATTGTCGGGAGGAGTTGCGTTTCTACAAAACACTCCTGCCTTGCCAGTTTGTGGTTGGTGTCTTTTTTTGGGGAAGGCTTTATGGGGGAGGACAAGGATGATGTATGGGAACTTTCCTGGGAAAAGGCAGCTCCCGTTGCAGGCCAGTTATGCCTCAATCACTCCAAATGGCTCAAGTCGCCTTCTCCGGATCAGCAACAAAGCTTGAGGGATGGCCATGGGGAGGAAGCCATTTTTCACCAGCGTCCGGCCTGGGCAAGGCCAGCCTCTCGAATAAATCTCCTGTCCCGGCCGGAGCCAGCGCTGAGAACTAGCCAAGGGCCTTATCGGAACAGCAGTGGGTCCTGGAACTCAGTCAAAGGCCGGAATGAAGGAAGAGGCGAATTGGGCTCAATCGATCAGTGGCCGGCAAGAGAACAAACCTACACGGCGGCCTTCTGATAGGAATGCCAGCCTCCAGGTGAGAATTTAGAAGAAGACGAAAAGGAGATTGGATTTATACCCCGCCCTTCACTCAGAGTCTCGGAGCGGCTTACAATGTCCTTCCCTTCCCCCACAACAGACACCCTGTGAGGTAGGTGGGGCTGAGAGAGCTCAGAGAGAACTGCTCTTGAGAGAACAGCTCTGAGAGAACTGTAGCTTGCCCAAGGTCACCCAGCAGCTGCAAGCGGAGGAGTGGGGAATCAAACCTGGTTCTCCCAGATTAGTCCGTGCTCATAACCTCTACACCAAACCCTACCCCCCCTCCCGTCCCCCGCTGGTGCCCAGGGGAAACCTGGCAACCTACTTCAGCCTCCCACCCAATGCTCCCTCTAAGCTGTGGTGTCTTGTCAGCAAAAATTCTGCT